TTTGAAATTTGAACAGTGCTTTGCACTCCACTTGATGAATCCGTTCGTTTCCATATCAAATTGTAACAGGGGTTGAGATGATGGTGATCGTTCGCGACAGAGGTTATTAATAAAATCAAACACCCCATTCCACTACCTAGGCTGAGCTTCAATCATCGAAACATTTAGTGTGATGCACTAAATACGGATAGTCAACACTGGACGAAACAGTGATCCCTAGGGTGTGCAGTAGACTTACCTCCACGTGGTGCACCCTGGGCAACGTATACTCATACGGCAAAAAAGCCAATTAACTTTCAGTTGACTTCTCACTTCAAACTACTATCACCTCACTCTATGCCATATTCGACTATTTCCACAGTAGTCACCTCACCTTTTTTCTACCTTTGTGTTTGTCTCTTACGTCTTTGAAACACTCTTCTGTTCCCCCCCCCCTCTTGACTTTTTTCAATTTGATGTTCCTTCCCCTCTGTGAAGCCTGAAGTCAACTAAATGGCTAATGATAACCATCAAGACGCCTGCCATTCGATATAAATAAATTTTATTTTTTTTATGAATAAATATTGGATAAAATTGTTTATAGTCAATATATTATTATAAATTCTGCAAAAAAACAAAAGTCAGTAGTATTATTTGCTATTTATTCCGAAGTAACCGGTAGTTTTGAATCCCATCCCGAAGCATCATGACCAATTTCTCCCATTTTTTCCCTTAACTTAGTCAGTTTTCTCTCCCGATATTGATTAATAAAGTTTATTGGATCAATTGGAGTTGAAAATAGTTCAGAGTTAACCTCGGAATTTTCATTTTGTTTCATTTGAACTGATGGTTCCCGATTATTCGGTGACCTTGAAGATGACTTGTTATTTGAAGTTGGCGCCTTTGAAATTTTTCCAGTGCTGCCCCGGGAACCGTGTTTTCTTTTTCCACTTTCACGACTCTGCCTACTAGCCCCAGATTTGAAATTTGGACTCCTTGAATTTTTTCGTTTCGGAAGAACCTTCATCTCCACACGTGACCAATCGCAGAAGGATGGGTTGATCGTTTCTGTGAAATTAAAGATATTAGTTGATGGCCCATCTTTTAAGATTAAAAGGGTCCAGGTAGATCATACGTTTTCCATTCGATCAATTGGTGATAGTAGTAAATTATAAACTAGTCTAAATGAATTAATAAGAAATTGTTTTATCTTGTCTCCCACCGTAAATAATAAAGTCTTATTCAATCTTCCAGTCCAACTCAAAATTTTTATTAAGCAACAAGATAAGGTGGAGCGAAATGCTTCATCATTTTTGCATTTGAAATATAAATGTATGAAGTCCCCTAATGAAGGAGATAAGAATTATCGTTTAGATAACGAGCAAATTATTGACCAACTATTTTACCTGTTCATGCTGGTACCTTCGTCGCTCAAGACGATTTATTCGAATAAAATAATTCAATCATTATCTTTTGAAATGGGTGTCGGAAGAGAATTAATTTGATATTCCATTTCTATAAGGCATTTAATCTGGTTTAAAACATTTCAAAGTGGTTAAGAAGTTATTGTTGTACATCAATTAGATTGATTTTTTCTTATTTTTGTCCACATTAATGTAATTGCCTGTACTTTCAGGCTCATATTTCCGGAAATATAATCTATTTCTGCCATGTTTCAGTGTTAATAGACTTTTTTATTTCTAAACAGTATGTCCATTTGCATATAATAATGCTTTGCTAAACATTTGAATTGGGAAGCTTCCAGCTGATTGGCTCAATTTTTTATTAGTAGCTGGACAGTATTTCGAACAAATTATTTTCAGAAATGTTGGTGCTAGAAGCAAAGTATTTTTTCATTCGTTTCAAAAATTTAATCGTCTCAAAAAGTAATGCCTAGTAATAGTTGATGTCGTTGTTTTCTTTAAAAAAGATTTGCAGATGGATCATCAATTTCCAGTGTAGCCTCACTATATTTTAATAGACAGTAACTGCGAAATTTGAAAATTTGGGTTGAAAATTCATATTTAGAAAGTTTTGAAAGCAGCTTTCTAGTTTTTTCCGAAATTCCTTCAATTAATCGTTATTATTTTCAAAAATGCTGAGTGTTAGTATCAAATCTTCAAAAAACAATATTTAATTATCTTTTCCAAAGATTTTCGTCTACACTCGGTTTCCTTTAAAGGATTATACACTCCTTCATTCATATATGTGAAAATGGCTTGAATGGTTTTTTTGAAATCCGCCCAAATCATGCAATGAATGAGTTGTACAAAGATTAATCGAGAGGACCATCAAAATAAGGAGATTAGGATCGCTACCGAATGAATGACCGAGTAACAAATGGTTTGGCTTGCTACCTACTCAAATTGTACCCCTCGAACCAAAAGGATTGAATTTGCCAAACCGTCATGGCTTACACTTGTGTCCTCGTGCACCGCTGAGGGTAATATGATATGGTGCCTCTCTCTACACATTTTTAAAGAGGGGCTTAGGTTGAATTCAGATGCCTTTGTGAAACTCTTGACCTAGATAACTGAAGAGGATAGCCAATAGTAGATAGGTCCAGTTCGACTAACAGATTAAGACTTCATCGGTGGTTATTTTGAATATAACTCTTTGGTGATAGTTTAACTTTGGTTTGTATCGGCTATTGTACTTACCAACCACTTGTTCCTTTCTCTGCTGAGACTGACATATTTATCCCAAATATTCTTCATTTTGCACAACAAAATTCACGATCTTTTGGTTAAGATGACCGTTTATCGCCCATTCTCTTTTTATACTTCAAATTATGTAGGCTGAGAAGTCTTATGTCAATTAAAAGTAGAGCATGGAATCAAAACTCCTCGATTTTGTCATAATGAGAGTAAAATTGTAGAACAAAATTAGATGGAAATATTAATTTTGTTACTTGGATAGGCATTAGCTGATGGCAACCTAGCATACTGTTGATATGTGGACTTTTAATGGAGAAAAAACCACCCTCATTTTCACCTTGAATTATCTGCGTTGACTTGCAATTTATTACTAGAATCAAAGCTTGCCTTAAATACCCACTTTGGCTGCACTAAGATATTCGCTAATCGAGATGGCATGGCCAACTGCGGAATTTACTTTTGTTGATCGTGGGTACAATCTTAACGATGGGATCATATAGCCAAGTTAAGAAATTCGAAAGTTATGCCCCAAATGAAAGGGTAAGCAAAGCAATATTTTTCGAATGAAATTAGGGTTTGTCTTTATCTCCAATATCTTGAATGTACGCAAGCAGATACGATACGACGACATCACCTATCCCTAAGTTCACTCATCTCATGCAAAACCCTGAAACCACTTAATAGCGTGAGGTTAAAAATAACTCGAATTCGATAGTGAATTCACTTCTGAAACTAGGTCAAACAGGGCCTATTATCCCTTCATGGAGTTAATGATCTTTCAAGGGCCAATATGAAATAGCGGTTTTTAAGGAGTGAGAAAACCGAGAGAGCCGGTTAGGACAAATGTGTTCTGGACAATTGGAAAATTGACCAAAGGTGGGTTTTGAAAGAAGTGGAAAAACAAAATAAGATGGTTGTTTGATTTCGCTCTCTTTGTTAATTAGCAAATTTAGCAGAGGTGAGAGTCAGTTGACGCCAATACATAGACTGCACAAGTAATACGGTCAAATTGATTACACGAAAGATATCGGACTCAGGGCTTAAATTTCTTCTCTCTTGGCTCTGTCTGCTTTGGAGATATTTTAAAAGACCCTTCCAACCGTATCTTCTTCCCATTTTTACTCTACGTTTTCAATTTAATCATATCAAACAATTAAATTGATTAAAGTTCTCTTCACTGTCGAGACTCAACAATAAAAAAATTATAAAGTAAATTCTTAAGTTTATACATCTTAGTGTAATGCCATTCAGTATTGGACTTGCGTTCAGAAGAAAGAACTCTTCAACCTATCTCTGCGAGATGCAAATTCTTAAAACTCTTTTACCTTATTAATTGTGTTTATTTTCTAATTATGCTTGGTCATCTTTCATTAATCCATTTACTGTGTGCACGTGTTTAGTTGCTTTTCCAGTAGATTTAATTATATTTTTGCCTTATCATGATTGGAAAATATGGGAAATATTGATTATAAAAGAGATTTCTTAAATAAATGATTAAAATCATAAGATACGATATTTAGTTGATACGGAAACATAATTTACAATAATCTACTTAGTAAATAAATACTTTGAACCTTTCCTCACGACTCGACCATTTGGTGGTCTCCCTCAACACCTGATATCGATGTCATTTCTGTAAATTGTAGTTGTGCAATTGATTGATTCATTATTTAACCAATAATATTCTTCGAACTTGGAAGCCGACTAAAAGCACAAATTATTTCGGCCTTCTCAAATCAGTCCCAACTCAATTCCTTCATAATAACAATCATAAATAAATGCTAACACAATAAAATGACTTGGTAAAAGACGCAAATGGATGTTAAATAACAAGAATAGTGAATATTGTCAAATAGAATTACATGGGTTATAAAATATCTACTCAATTAGGCTCATGCCAAAAATGCTTAAACAACATCGATGTACCTAATATAATTTCCCCCGCTTTGGGGGGACAAATCAGATAACTTATTGTTCGGATACTATGTTGTTTAACAATATAATGTTATAAATTGTAACTTTTATAGGAGTCTAATTCAAATGATTATCAGATAGTATAATCAACCATTTAAATTTGTATAAATATTTCTGAAATATCAAGCATCAATTCATAAAGAAATTATATAAATCCTCTTTTGAATCACAGACAGTAAGGCTTCGTGGCATTTGGAAGATTTAGATAATTGTAAAACAGTAGAGAATTACCCACTTATTTATGGAACCTCTAAAATTTTGCCAATGAGTACTATTTTACACATTTTCAATTTTCCGCTTTTAGTTTCCCAAAATCTTGCATCTTACCATGTTGGTCATTGAGTGCTCTATCAATCTCCACAAAGATTTTTGAGCACAAACTTAGATCAAGACGTTCAAACTCCTCTTCGTTGGCATTGTAATCCTTTTCAAGTTCGTTGGCTTGATCAGGCATCATATGATGAGGCAAAATGAAATTAAAACTAGGAATACCGTAAGACTGAATTAAATATAATATTGATTTGCTGATGATTTCATTAACTGCTTTGGTTAATAAATTGATCAGCTTAAATTCTGACTACCGTAAAACTAGCAAATGATGGTTTTTTATATGTCTAATGCTACATGCGGGAAAATAAAAGCTTCTCGAGAATAATTCTGCCACATATATATATATATATATATATATATATATATATCACTCTTTTTTCACGTTTTAACTATCTTTTATAACAATTATCCCATAAATGAAAGAAACGGCGTAAATAATTGGATTAAATACTGTACATATAAATTAAGTATCCGAAAGAAAATGAAGTTTTATGATTTAACATTGTACCTTTGACAGCTTGTAAGTGTAATGAATGCAATTCCACTGGAAATCTATTTATTTATTTATTTATATCAAATGGCGGGCGTTTTGATGGTTATCATTAGCCATTTA